ATAAGCTGGAATTGGGCTTTAAATGCTGTATGTGGCTTTTCCTGTTCACTTGGCCAGAGTTGGGCTTTGAGTGATCTGCAGGATCCTTTTTCTTGCTGATATTAAACATTCGAAAAATAACAGCATGTCCTTTTCTCATGAATTCTTTATGGACTGCATAAATAGAGGTGTAGGAACAGCACTTTACCTTGTCTGAATATTTTACAGCAAGAAAGTATCCCATCTCTACACTATTTGGCCAAACGTTTGTGGACACCTGACCATTGCACCCATATGAGCTTTGTTGGACACCCCATTTCAAAAGCCATGGCCCTTTATGTAAAGTTGGCCTCCTTTGCGGCTATAACAGAATTTACTCTTCTGGGAAGCTTTTCCATGAGATTATGGAGTGTGTCTGTGGGAATTTGTGCCCGCTCACAGATCGCAGTGTTCCAGTTCATTGCAAGGTGTTCAGTAGGGTTGAGTTTGGGGCTCTGTGAAGGCCACTTGAGTTCCTCCACACCCAACTCATCAAACGAGGTCTTTATGGAACTTTCTGATACTTGCTCTAGTACAAGAGCCACTATTACCTGGCTTCTCCCCACTTTTTCTATGTCCCACAGCCTGCTCAGTCCGGGAACTGATGAGATGCCTCGCCTCCTGCAGAGCCCGCACTGTGCTGAGAGCTGCGCATTCCTTGTGACAGCCGCTGCTTGAGTCAGAGAGACGCAGCCCCGGAGCCTCCGTGCCGCTTCAATGACGGCCCAGCCTGCACGGCATCAGAGGGGCCCGGGGTGCACCAACATTTTCTCGCAGACCACCGGTTGGCGACCGCTGTTTTAGTACATTGCTATGGCTACTTGCTGGAGTTTGCTATGGCTCATGCTGGAACAGAAAAGAACCTTCCCCAAACTGCTGCCACAAGGTTGGGCGTGCACAATTGTCTAAAATATCTTTGTATGCTGTAACATGAACAATACCCTTCCATGGAAACACCTAAACTCAATAATTTGGTGGGTTGTCCACATACTTTTGGTTGTATAGTAGGTGTGATGGTCAGGTGTCTACACACTTATGGTTATATAGCGTATGATGTTATCACATCGACTTTCCTTCTTCTCTGCCCTACAGTTTGTGATCATTCGCGGCTGTTCTTTCTATTACAGGGGAAGATCTGTGGGAGTCGGATGATGAAGGCCCACCTAGCGATGCGCCATCACAGACAAGCAGCTGGCCTTGGTGCCTGTTACAGTAACGCAGAGAATTTCACAGTCATTGACGTCTCTCTTTCTGTTCATCTGTTACACTTAAAATTATTTTATTAAAAATAAAACTGCCGTTAAAACTCAGAAGAGCAGATACTGTATATATATATCTATATACACTCAGATTTCTGGTTGGTAGTGACAGTCACAACATGGACGTCGGGGGTTAAGCCCTTAGTGAGGTTAAGTCACGTGTTAACAGTCACACATGCAGTCATAGAGAACAATATTATTACATAATTATTCTATCACAAGGCCTTCAGGGCTTCACAGTCTCCCCCACAGGTAGCCCTGGTAATAGTGGTTATGTGTGACCATGCCTACATACATGTAATAGATTATATGTACACACACATACAGCCCTAGACGTGGGGCTACTCCTGTCTATCTGAGGTCATCTTCACTTGGCTGTTGTCCGTGAATGGCTGGGTCCTCTCAAACGATCATTTCTGGGGTGCAGAGGTTTGAGAAATTTAGGTGCCCCCCCCCACCTTCCATTAGGTTGGTTCCTTTCACCCAGAGTCCATCACAGCTGTCCGTCTACAGATTCGGGATATCTACGGTGCAATCACATGGTCACCACAGGAATCCTGGGGAAGAGAGTGGAGATAAAGAGGTTAGTTTCAACTGATGGGCCTCAGAAGAGAAGGCAAGGTTGGCACTGTCCTTATTTTTCTGTTATAAATGATGCAGTGACCAGTTTCAATCTTGTTAAAGTTAGGGATGCACCGAAATTTCAGCCGCCGAAACAAAGTGCCATTTTTTGGCCCGAAAGAGCAGTGCATCCCTGCTTTCTCTCCTCCCCTCTGGGCGCTGCTCTGTGTCCCAGCGGGGAAGAGAGACACTGTCACATCAGGCCGAGCGGTGTGGGAGGAGAGCGCTGTGGGCGGCCGGCGTCACTCCTCCCACACCGCTCAGCCTCCTGTCATAGATCGGGGAGCAGTGGTGTGGGCGAAGACAGCATGCGCTGTCACAGGAGGCCAGCCAACCGTGAGGGGGAGGAGTCAGCTGTCAGATCGAGCTCTCCTCCCGCACCGCTTGCTCAACCTCCTGTGACAGCTGTCAGGAAGGAGAGCGGGTACAAGCAGTCAGTGATCGCTGAGTGTTTGTATATAATTGAGGACATGGTATGGTTACTATATCCTCAATCATGAATGAATGGGAAGTGATCTACATCTCCTCCTGTCCATTCATGATTGTGGATATAGTAAACATACTCTGTCCTCATGTTATGAATGAACAGGAACACTCGGAGAGGATTCCTGTTCATTGATAACAGGGGATACAGAAAAAGAGATTGAGGACTTTGTGTCCTCAATCTCTTTTTCTGTTTTAAAAGAGGAATATCAGGAGGCTGTTTAAACCCCCAATATTTCTCCAAAGCCCCCATCAATAAAGTAAAAAATAAAAATATTTAATAAAAAATAAATAAATAAGAATAAAATATATGACGTCAGCCTGACATTTTCGGTTTCGGTTTTGAAATTTTAATTTCGGTGCACCTCTAGTTAAAGTGTATGTAACACCAATGTTTTTCTTTTACGTTTTGCATAGGGTAGAAAGGAGTTAAAACTCCTGGCGGATTTTATTTTTTTGCTCTCTGTGTCCTATTGGAGAGATTTGTCTGTGAAGGTTCTCATTCATCCGGGTCATGGATATCTGTAAAAAATAAATCAAGGCAACTGGACTTGCTGTATTGTTCTTGAAGATGTTTCACTGGTCATCCGACCAGCTTTCTCAATTCAGAATGACATGTACTTAAATTCCCTGGGAATAAATATGGTGAATGTTGCTCCAATCCGCATAATCTGTTTATTATAACCAGCATGGGGGTCAGAGACATCATGGAGGTAAGGTGTTGATTGCATTTGTGTGATTGGAGCTAACAGGTGTTATTAAGCCGCTCAGAAAGAGGTGCTAAAACAGCTGTCAAGAAGCCTTTGCCAGGAATGTTGTGCCTGGTATGATCCATAGAGCCAGGCCTGGCCGTGCACCTGTGCGCAGATGCGCACTCGTTCGCCAGTGTGCGCATAGGAGTGCAGTGCAGTGAGGAGTGCTCAGAATTGTATGTCGGGGAAACAAAACCGCAGCTACACCAGCGTATGGCACAGGATAGAAGAGCCAAAAATTCTGGTCAGGATTCAGCAGTATACCTACATCTAAAGGAAAAAGGTCACTCCTCTGAAGACAGTCATGTACGCATCCTAGACAGGGAGGAGGACTGGTTTCAAAAGAGGTGTGAAAGAGGCCAATTATGTAAAAATTGAGAAGCCAAGCTTGAATAGAGGTAGTGGTGGTGGTGTGAGACATCTATTGCCTGCCACGTACAATGCTGTTTTAACACCTCTCTCTGGGCAGCTTAATAACACCTGCTAGCTCCAATCATACAAACGCAATCAACACCTTACCACCATGAGGTCTGGCCCCATGCTGGTTATGATTAACAGATTATGTGGATTGGAGTGACGTTCACCATATTTATTCCCAGAGAATTTTTGTACAAGTCATTCTGAATTGAGAAAGCTGGTCACATGACCAGTCTATAAGAAGAATACAGCAAGTCCAGTTGCCTTGATTTATTTTTTTACATGATATTGGAGAGATTTGTCTTCACTTCCTGCCCCAGAGATGCAACATTAAGTGAGAAGCAATTTCTACAAAGTGAGGGGACTTCCCCTTTTTTGCTGTCACAGGTGTCCTTCTCTATTCTCGCTGGTGACAGCTGTACAATTTCCAGCAGTGACTCTGCTGCCTCAAGTACTAACAAGAAACATTCTGATTGGAGAAGAGAAGAGTGACAGAGAGATGAGCTCATCAGTCTGCTACTTCTCCTTTCACTGTCCAGTCACAGGCCGACAGAACCTGAAACAGAGACGAATCGGGTCTCCTACCCTACCAGAGAGGTCTGTGCTGTGGCAGCTAAATCTGATCCTATATATGTATTTAGCTGCTTGTCTGGAATTCTGCTGCAAACTTCAGTAAAATGTCTTGAAAAACACAAATTATACCTAGTTTATGGGGGCATAAAATTTACCAGAAATGCAGAAATTTGTTGTAAACAGGAAGTGTAGAAAAAAAGCTTCTCTGGTTTTTTTTTTACCTTAGTGCAAATACATTTAAAATTAGCACCTGATAGCCAAAATATTGGGATTTTTTTTGTGTGAAATAAGCCAAAATATCCATTCAATGCTGATAATTAGGCCCCCCTGTGTTTGTGTGGAGAGATGGTACACTGTTGGCCACTAGGGGGCAGTGTCACAGTGGTTTGTCACACTGAGTACTCAGGTGCAGGGAGATTACAGATCATATTAATTATTGCTGCACAGTACAGGCGCGGAATGTTGCGAGGCGCAGGCAATGTTTGTGTTTTCTAATGAAGAGTCCAAGTCCTCAGACACACATAGGGCAGATGATGCTTTCCAATTTCAGGTCGATAATAATCACAGTGGCTTATGTACGGCATTGCGTTCTGACAAAAACAATCTTTGCATCCTCAAAATCCACTTCCCAAAACTTACAAGAAGAACATCACCAGCCTATTGGAAACACAGGATATTGTTTCAGCTCTGATAGGCTTGCCGTGGCCACAACCAGGCCCCAATATTTGAAAGCTGACCTATCATGAGATATTTATTTTACATCAGTCCCTCCCACCAAGGAGCTTACAATCTAAGGTCCCTATCTTATATACTAGGAGCCAATTCACATACCAATATGTTTTTGGAGGGTGATAGGAAATCTAGGTAGCCCCATGCAAGCACAGGGAGAGCATGCAAACTCCAATCTAAAGGTGGCCATACACAAGTACCTAAAAAAACGTACGATCTGCCTATCTTGGACAGGCAGATCGTACTCTCGATCATCGCAAGCCCGCCCCCATGAGGGGCGGGCTTACGATGACTGTAATGAGGGGCGGGCTTACGTTGACTGCAAACGGGCAGTGTGCGCGTGCGCACACCGGCCCGTTCGGCAGTTGTCGAACCAGCAGGCCACTAACTCATGCTGGTTCGACGGAAGACGTGCGACCGTACAGTAGAAACGGTCGCGCGCCTTCCATACACTGCACGATTCTCGTACGATCGCAGGATTTCCCGCGATTCTCGTACGAGAATCGTGCAGTGTATGGGCACCTTAAGGTCCCTATCTTATATACTAGGAGCCAATTCACATACCACTGTGTTTTTGGAGGGTGATAGGAAACCTGAGTAGCCCCATGCAAGCACAGGGAGGGCATACAAACCTCAATCTAAGGTCCCTATTTGTAGGAGGACTAAGAAAAGTGCAAAATCAGTGCAGCACATATTTGTCTTTATTGGAGGCCATCTTCCAACTTTAAACTGATCCAACTTTAATCAGGTATTTTCCATTTCACTCTCTGCTTCTGGCACTGTGTATGGAATCCGCCTGTCTCTCTGACTTACTTGCTTGTTCTGCAGGGAACGCTTCTGTCATCCAGGCCACTTTTGTTGAAGTCACCGAGTTTTAGTGGATGGAGCCCGGGGATGTCAGAGTCGGGTGACAAGTCGGTCAAGGGCTGCAGGCTTCCTTCCTCCGGTAAAGCACAACGTTCATTGCGGTTGCGCCTGCGTTTCTGTCTGCGTTCACAGCTGGGAGGAGAGAGGATAAATACCACATGAAGGTTCATTTAGCAATTGTGACTTGTAAAATCCTAATGGATAGATGGATGGATGGATGAGGAATGCATGGAGTGTTCCATGTTGGTGAAAGATTGCCCATAAGTACCAATGAGCAGAGCTTCTGATGTCCTTATGGGGGGATTGAGAGGGACTGAGACAGAGATGATTCAGTGGGTGCCATAGGGAAAGCTTCCAACCTGTACAGGGCTAAGGGCCCATTTACACCACATCCAGATTACCTCCAGACCACACTGTTTCCGGACCCAAAATGCATCCCAATGTACCCCTATGCTATTTCTGGCCTCTGTTCCCACCAGCGCAGTCCGTTCCAGACCAGACCAGAAAAATACTGCATGTCCTATTTTGTCTTGTCTGGAATGCAGTGGAACGCATCAAAAACGCATGGAACGCACCTGTAAGACCATTTTAAGCTTAAAAAAAAGATTATAATTTCCAAAATTGCGGTAAAAAAAACAATGCACTATGATCCAGATCTGGTCCGGAAAAAATGGTGTGAACCCAGCCTAAGTGTGCTGGATCCTGCCAGGTGGCAGAGAGCCAGGTAGGCCTGACATGGAAGGGTCTGTGAACTGGTTCGGTCTCATCTGGAGTATGCGGTCCAGTTTTGGTCACCAGTCCACAGAAAGTATGTCCTGGTGCTGGAGAGAGTCCAGAGAAGGGCAACTAAACTAACTAAGGGGATGGAGGACCAAAGCTATGAGACAAGGGTACTAAATTTAAACTTGTTCACGCTGGAAGTGAGGAGATTAAGGGGGGGACATGATTTTGATGTACAAGATGTTCAATGGTGACGGCAACATCGGCAATAAACTTTTTACGGTAAACTCCATAACAAAGACCAGAGGCCACCACCTAAAACTGGTGGAGAAAAGATTTAAAGGAGAACTATAGGGTCAGTGTTTTTCCCCATAGTTCTCCTTAGGGTAACGGGAGGACACAAACTAGCGTCCTCCCGTTACCCTAAGCTCAGTATACCGCGAGCTACAGCTCTCTATATACTGAGACGCCGCAGCCGGAGCGGATCCCGACTTAGATGAAGGGATCCGCCCAGCTGCGTGAGTGACAGCTGGCTCTGCCTATCTAGAGGCAGAGCCAGCTGTACCCGCCCCCCCCCCCGGCCGTTCTGCCAGTCAGCTCTGGCGGATCGGAGAGGGGAATCCAGCCCCTCCCCTGTCACGGCAGAGAGCCGTGACAGGATCGAGAGGTGAGCGAACCTGGTATGTGTTCACTCACCTCCCGATCTACTGAGCCGACCTGTGACAGTCTCATTGTCACAGGTCGGCTAGAACTATGAGGTGAGTGGAAATCACTCATCTCATAGTTCTCCTTTAACCACAAAGGGCGTAGGGGCTTCTTTTTAGTTAGAGCGTTTAGTGTCCGGAACTCGCTGCCACAAGCTGTGGTATCAGCTGAGAGTATTGAATCATTCAAAAAGCCTTTAGAGACCTTCCTCAGAGACCGCAACATACAACGGTACATGTACCCTTAAATACTAAGACCATACAGGGACTCATATACACACACACATGTCAATCACACACAGACACACAAAGGTTGAACTTGGCGAACCTGGGTCTTTATTTAACTTCAAACACTATGTAACTCTGCTGCTAATGAAGTGTGAGCTCTTTTGTCAAATACCAGCACTCATTTCCTCCATATTCTGCTGTATCTTTGAATCTGTGCTCTCTCTGAAGCACCCCTTCCCTTTGCCAAGGTTTACCGAAATGGCTGCCAAATATAAATTATTCATCTTATAAACAACTCTTCGGCTCATAATCAGTGAACAAAAACTCTGCTCCAGTCTGTCTCTGGTTATTTCCCCCTGGATACCGCCATCTTCCCTCTCACAGGGGCAGTCAGAAGGTAAAGCCAGGCTGTCAATCACAGCCCTCACATTCACATGGGCAGCAAAGAGGCGGTAAAATCAGGTGGATTATCTTTTTTTTTATTGCCCCCGGATTGCCTACGTACATAATAAGATGATGGCCGCTCAAAACTGTTCACATTGCTACTTGCCAAACAAGCCCATTGAAGTCAATGGGATCGTGCCATAAACACATGTCAACCACTTGGTACTTGGTTGTGGGGCAGTCTTGCAGTACAAGCCCCCCCCCCTTTGGCATTGGCTGATGGAGCTCTGCCTCCGCTGACTGCTCCTACAGACTGAATATCTCAACAACACCTTTCCCGAAGAAGAAGTGGAGGGGGTTGTGCCCCCACCAAGTCATTTTAAGGGGCTTTAATTTGGGCAGTGTGTTTAGTGCCGTCCATGCTGCCTAATAGGAAAGCCCAGCATTAGCTTTGCACTTGATGATTGTGCCTTCAGATTCAATACCTAGACAGCACCCTTCCTGGAGGAGAGGAGAAGGGGGAGTGTCCCTTCTCTACGTCAATCAAGGTGCATTCATGCTACACTGTATACTAGGTTGTCTTACTGCTTCTAAATACAAAAGAGGAGGAGGGGAGTGTGCCCCCAGCAAGTCATTCAAAGGGCTATCATGGGGCAGTGTGTTCAGTGCTTTCCATGCTGCCTAATAAGAAAGTCCAGCATTAGTTCTGCACTTGATGACTGTGCCTACAGATTCAATATCTAGACAGCATCCTTTCTGCATTAGAGGAGAAGGGGGTGTGTCCCTCCTCTATGCCAATCGAGGTCCTTTAATGCCACAGTGTATACAGTGCATTTTGGGTTGTCCAGTAAGAAAGGCCAGCATTAGTTCTGCACTTGCCTACTGCTTCTGTATACAGCAGAGGATGAAGAGTGTGTGTCCCTCCTCTGGCTCAGTAAGTAACCTTCTTGCAGGAGAGGAGAAGGGGTGTGTCCCTCTATGTCAATGAAGGTGCTTCCATGCTACACTGTATACAGTGCATTCTGGGCTGTCTTGTAAGAAAGCCCAGCATAAGTTCTGCACCCTCTTACTGCTTCTGAATACAGATGAAGAAGAAGAGGGGAGTGGGTCCCTCCTCTGGCCCAGTCAGATGTATTTATGCACAGCCTGAGAACCCAATATTAGGTTAGTGTTTACATAAGAACCGTACTCCAGCTATCTGAAGTCCAAAAGATACATTTACCATCTGCTGGCTAGACGAGGTAAATGAGAAAAATGTATTTATAATACTTCATATTTACCCCAAAAATACAATTAAAATGATGAAGTGGAATGTACGTGACAACAAATGGAATTTATTTCCCAATTCATCTGGCTGTAGAATGCGAGGGAGCATTTAATCTGCTGCTTCCTGAGAAATAACGTGACCAAGTGACAGTAGTCGCCCCTGATGTGGCCCTATGCCTATCCTTGTGTCTGGTTTCCTGCCATAGTACAAAGTTGTCCATCGCCTATATTTGTTTTTGTTCTGCTATATCCTACCGCTGCTGTGTCTGCATTTGACCCCCAATTACTTTTTAGAAAAATATCAGTAATGTAAAAAAAGGGAAAAGTTTTTTTTTTTCCCCTCTTCAATTAAAGGAGAACTATGAGGTGCTTTTCAGTCACCTCATACGGTAGTTCTAGCCGACCTGTGACAATGAGACTGTCACAGGTCGGCTCAGTAGATCGGGAGGTGAGCGAACACATACCGGCGTTCGCTCACCTCTCGATCCTGTCACAGCCCTCTGCCATGACAGGGGAGGGGCTGGATTCCACCCGCTCCGATCCTCCAGCGCTGACTGTCGGAACGGACGGGGAGGGGGCGGGTACAGCTGGTTCTGCCTCTAGATAGGCAGAGGCAGCTGTCAGTCACGCAGCTGGGCGGATCCCGGCACAATTGTCGGGATCCGCTTCAGCTGCAGCGTCTCAGTATACCGCGAGCAGCTGCTCGCGGTATACTGCGGCGTCTCAGTATACCGCGAGCTACAGCTCGCGGTATACTGAGCTTAGGGTGATGGGAGGACGCTAGTTTGTGTCCTCCCGTTACCCTAAGGAGAACTATGGGGAAAATACTTAACCCCATAGTTCTCCTTTAATTGAAGGACACAGACGATCATCAGATCCAGACCAGCAGGTTATATCGCCACCTGCAAGAGAAGGACCGATGATCGGCTGTGTGCTTCGAAGAATGCAGAGGAAAGCATTTTACAGTGAGTTTTTGTTGCAAACTGTATATACACTATATTGTCAAAAGTATTGATACACCCCTCCAATGGACGCCTTCCCAGAAGAGTTGAAGCTGTTATAGCTGCAAAGGGCGGAGCCAACCCAATACTGAAACCTACGGACTAAGACTGGGATGCCATTAAAGTTCATGTGCGTGTAGCGACAGGTGTCCCAATACTTTTGGCAATATAGTGTATTTCCACGCAGGCTTTTTTAGTTCCCTTCATCCGGCCGGCTGTCAGCGTTCATTATTCGGAGACGCGACGTACCGTCGCTGGTAAATGCTTCAATAAAGCTCAAATTAAAAAAAGAAAAAGTTTTGAGCACAGTCCTCTTTTCTAAAGTAGTGCCGCTATAGGATGGAGCTATTTTTAACAGACGCTTATGCAAACGTCTCAAGGTCACTTTCACGTTGAAGTTATTTGTAATGCAATTTGTTCTGTGGAGGAAACAAATTCCCGCAGAACGAGGAACTCGCGCAGTAAGGATATTGAAGGGCACAGCAGGAAACCACTCAGAGGTGCTACAATTAACGCCGCAGAGAGTGTCACACAGTCATCTGCTTAACATAACTGCATGCATTTTAACACTTCGTACATCTCATCAAGGGCTGGCGCTTTTAGAAGTACAGGAAGAAAGTGCGGCCATATATTTCTTCATAAAGTGTTTATGTGCGTTGTTTTATTAACGCACCGATATAGCGATTGCCTGCTGGGTACTTTTAGTATGGGGGTGGAGCAGCATGGAGAAGCTAAACTAAGTCAGTCCACATACATCCTATTTTGATGTTCAGTGAAGCTTATTGGCTTCTTAAAGCGGACCTTTACCCCCTCGGGCTAAAAACCACATCAGCATGCAGCTCTGCGTGCTTATATGGAATCATCTTGCATTCATTAGCTAAATAAACATATTCACATTTTACTGCCAATTTCGTATTTTCTACTTCCTGGTCCTCTTTGGCACAAATGATGTCATCTGTGCCCAAGCGTTGCATCCTGGGAAGGTGACATCAGCAGAGCATTGCTGGGGAATCTCATCTGTAATCTCACAAGATCTCAGGGAAAGGCATTTTCCTCCCCTGAGATGATGTGCATGGTCACATGTCTAGTCACATGTGGCAAAGTTCCAGGAAGTAAAGGGAGATGGATTAATCTTCCCTTAGTAAAAATGGCTGCTGTGAGAAGACTGGGGAGGAAAAGAAAAATAAGGCATGCAAAAATTGAAAAGCCGGCAATTGTAGATTGTCATTACTGAACATTTCTCAAGGTGCCTTTGTTGTTATTTTGAAGATAAGGGTAACATTCCTCTTTAAGTGTCTCAGGAACCTGGGTGTTGAGATCTCTACACATGAGTTCCCAACTCCACCCACCTGCCATGCCTCTCAAGGGCTCTCACTATTTTTTTTTTGGGGGGGGGGCTTCCAGTTAGTTTATATTGTGAATAATACAGCTGGAAGAGTGTGATCGCCTATGCTAGAGAGTTGTATTCATTGAAGGACACAGCCGATCATCAGATCCAGACCAGCGGGTTATATCGCCACCTGCAGGAGAAGGACCGGTGATCGGCTGTGTGCTTCAATGAATGCAGAGAAAAGCATTTTACAGTGAGTACAATAGAAGTAAGATTTCAAGGTAGGCTAGGAAGAGCCCAAAACCAAAGGTGTAACTATAGCTATAGCAGACTGTGTGACCGCTATCGGGAATTTGTCAGTAAAATGTGAATATGTTTATTTCATGTAAGATGATTCCATATCAGCAAGCAGAGCTGCTTGCTGATGTGGTTTTTAGCCAGAGGGGGGGGGGTAAAGGTCCTCTTTAAGGGGCCCAGAGCTATCTGCTTACATAGTGATTTATGCAGCACTAGGCAATTGCGTTTGGCGTTTGGATGAAATGAATGCACATGAAGTTTGGGAACCTCTTTAGAAGTAGTAGTCAAGTTACAATGTATAGGTTCCTCAACGGTGACCCTAGTGTTACCAAAGAGCCTCATATAATATTCAGTATAATGCTGTTAATGACTGTCAGGAACTGCAGACATTCTACTAGAGATGGTCAGAGACTACAGCAATGCTACAGTTTTCAGTTTTGGCCGGAGAATGATGACAAGCTGTAGGAGACAGTCACAAAATGGGGATATGTTTCATGAGACTGCTAGAGATCAGTGACATTACAGTCCCTTTACAGATCAATGATCCCATTACTGACTGCTGGGGTCCAATGGGTTGACATGAATCAAAGAACCGCACACACGTCCTCGGGCCCAGGTTGGTCATTAGGACTCAAGAACAATAGGTATTCTGTGTCACTAGAGGTATTGTCCTTGAGATGGAGCTTAGAGACAATGGATCCCCTTAAAGGACCGCACGCAGGCCCTCAGGCTGCACGTTGGTTATCGGGATTCAAGAACACTAGGTATTCTGGAGCACTAGAGGTATTGTCCTTGAGATGGAGCTTAGAAAGAATGGGCCACCTTAAAGGACCGCACGCAGGCCCTCAAGCTGCAGGTTGGTCATCAGGATTCAAGAACAATAGGTATTCTGTATCACTAGAGGTATTGTCTTTGAGATAAAGCTTGGAGACCATGGGCCACCTTAAAGGACCGCACACAGGCCCTCGGGCTGCAGGTTGGTCATGTGGACTCAAGAACTCTAGATATTCTGTATCACTAGAGGTATTGCCTTTGAGATGCAGCTTACAGACTATGGGCCACCTTAAAGGACTGCGCGCAGACCCCCAGGCTGCAGGTTGGTCATCAGGATTCAAGAACAATAGGTATTCGGTATCACTAGAGGTATTGTCTTTGAGATAAAGCTTAGAGACCATGGGCCACCTTAAAGGACCGCACACAGGCCCTCGGGCTGCAGGTTGGTCATGTGGACTCAAGAACTCTAGATATTCTGAATCACTAGAGGTATTGTCTATGAGATGGAGCTGAGAGAAAATGGGTCCCCTTTAAAGTTTTGCTACAGGACCTCATGACTTATAGTTACAGCCCTGCTAAAAACTCTGGTCCAAATATCTCAAGACTCCAGACCACGAAACATTTAATAAGCCAGTGAATGATTCAGCCCATTATTTTCAGTTTTTCGCATGACACTGGTGAATCATCTGCTTCTTACATCTTCCGGAAAACCCAACGAGGTGTTCCTCCAGCAGTCTGCGCCTTGTCCACCTCCCACAAGGCCTCAATGAAAGTGTCACTCTCTCCCAGCCGACATTAACAATTATTTTATTTATAGAGAATCCAACGGGGGATTGTGACTCCTTATTTGGCTTCTTACAGTCAGCTTATGTTGGGAAAAATGTGGACTTGTGGTAGGGATATCTCAACACTAAAGCTTCTGAAAGACAGGGCTATGAGAAGGAGGGTGATCCATGGGTTTATCTGATCACCAGTATGGGGTCAGGGAAAGTAATGGGGTCAAAAAGATGTCCCTACCACCATGGGGGGATTGGGAACATTTGGCTTAGGGGACAAACACAACCAACTGGCCATTTCATGGTAGGGGCAGATTTCTGTGGGCTAAAGACAATGCACCTAGCAAAGTGTGTCAGGTTTCTGTACTGATTGGTGGGCATGATGAAAGGTAGGTGTTTCTAAATGGCATGGTTTATGGTGACACACCCTTCCATATCTTACAGGATCAGCTTCCACTGAGGCTTTAGGCTCATATGACATCTCAGAGCTGCAAAAGAAGTTTGTGCTGGAAGACCTACCTCTGCCGGATGGTGTGATCGTAGGCCTGAACAGGGAGAAGGTAGCTGTGTCATGCCCAGTGGGTGTTTCTGATATCATAATGGTGAAGTATCTCCACTCAAGGCCAGCAGTCCAGCATATCTTATTATTAATGGTCTGGGGGGGCACATGAACCCCTGTCCTCCAGCCCAGTTTCCCTTGTCTTCCACAGAAGGACAAAATCAGGGCTAGTTCTGTCATTTGGCTGACTGAACAATATGCTATGGGAAAGGAACTAGAGCAAACTCATTCAATAATAGAGAGGACGAGTCTCTGGGGGAATTCAAGACCAGGTTTCCAGCACTGCTAAGCTCTTCACTAAACATATCATTCATAATGTTATCTGACAGCTGAGTGCTCTATACTCACCAGAATTTGATGATTATTCCGGTAGCCACCAACACAATGAGCACAGAGATCACAATGGTGACGTAAAGTTGAGGGTCGGTCCCTGGGGAGAGAAAAAGACAATTGATGTCTGAGACTGCAAGATGTTGGACCCTGACACTTTGTCAACACACTACTGACCTTCTTGTAGCGGGGGAAAGCCATGGGGTCTCAGAGTGGTCGGTACCCCCTTCAGGTCCAGTCCTCGCGCTGGCTCACCGTGCTCCAACAAGCCCCACTCATGATGGTAGTAAGGTCGAGGGGTGGAAGAAGCTGAACTTTGTGCCCCTTCCTCATCTGAGACAGTTGGGCCCCACAAGATAGCCCAAGGGTATTGCGAAGGAAGAACCGCCCCTTCCAGGGCAGCAGGAAAGAGCAGGCTGGATGCTTCAGACTGGCGCTTGCCCCGTGTGGGCACAGATTGCTGATGGGGGTGCTGGGTGTTCCTGTGGGGGAAGTATTGGATCTTTGGTGGCACATTCTGTGACTGGACTATGGGGAAAACAAGCTGAGGACTGGAAATGTGGGAGTTTCCTGAGGGTTGTTTAGTAGAATGGAGGGAGGTATATAAATGCTGGTGGGCAGCTAGGTGGGGGGAGGATGTCGGGCGTATTGCCCCATGGTGGTGAGACTTTGTGGGGTGTAGGGGTCGGGGGAATGAAGAACATGTGCTTGATAGGAGTAAAGAATAGAAAATGCAGTAGATGGAACCACAGCCAGACCTGAGGGAAAGAGGGGGGGGGG